CCAGGAACCATGATTGTACATAAATTCAACCTTAAACTACCAGACATTAGAAACACTTATGCATTAGGATATTATTGCATTATCTAAAACAAATACTGTAAACTAATAACTTACATTCCAAGTAACACGTACACTCTCTGATGATAGGGAATATGTTGTAACTGACAATGGRTCACCATATGGTCCTGTAAAAGATATAAAAAACAAATAAATGATAAAAAATTTAGTTAGTCAGCCGTTTATTCGTTATGCAGCATATTGCTACAGCATATATGTTTATCGAATCATCGCAGCAATCAATTAAGTAACAAATTCACGGACAGAGACACGAATTATTTACATTTTACCAAAAAATATGTAATTTTCTATGCAGGATCTGGATTTATCATGGGTAAATTTGCGTTTACGTTTTTTTTTCCTCTCTCTTTATATTTTTGGGCTCTACATCAATTCACGTCACGTTGATGAAATGGCAAGTTGCAGACAGTTTTAAAATCAACCTTAGCAGCTGTTAACAGATATTGAGGTAAAGCCAAGAGTTATTCAATTGTTTCTTAAGAATATTCCTTTTAGAGCAACACCAATTGGGTCAGTTGATTATGATGTTGTTGGTTGTTTTTTTTTTTGTTTTTTTTTTGTTGTTGTTGTTGTTGTTGTTTTGTTGTTTTTTTCTCTCTCGTCATTGAGCAACCTCAGGACAGCCCCCTGTATTGCAATGTCAGCAATAGACATGCATAATCTGAGCGGTTTTTTCTTAACGGGAGATTGAAAATTAATTATTTGATTAATGTTACTGTAGTTTTTATTGTTTTCTAGTTTTTGAAAAGGAATTCAAACAGAGAAGAAGCCGTTATACACTGTTTATAGAAAAAGAATCGAAAGAAAAGTCAATTATTATTCTATAAGCCCTTGCGCCACTGACATACTACATTCAGTATTCTCAAGTTTCCGCATAATATTGCAAGACGAGATTTGAATGTATAATTTTGACGCTACTGTTCTTTACGTTTACTTAATGGCCAGTCTCAGTTTTCAACCTGTTGTTACTTACGAGCTTCAAATAGTGTTGTGAAGTTCGTAGAACAACTCCACTGTCCATGACCAGCTTTGTTCACAGCTTTAATCATAACACTGTAGTTTGTATAGTGCATAAGACCAGTGATGTCGACATTAGTTTCAAAACCTGATACGTTTAATGTACGGGTAGTGCTGTTGTCTTGGTACTTTATAATATAGAATGTTAGATTTGCTTGCAATGGGCTTCCTGTTGTGTTCCTCCATCTTACGATTGCTGACATCGACGTGATATTGTGCACTGTTGGTGCTGGTGAGGTCCATTGTAGGTCTAAAATCGGAAATGAAAATGCTTTACACCAATTTCACTACAGTTTGTTACCATCCAGACGTTCCAATGTGGTTCGCATAAAAGTATCTACGTAAAACAGAAATTTCAATGTTCAATTTTGTGAATACCTCTCATATATCCGTAAGCTTCTACGCGCAATGTCTTCCAAGAGTTGTAAGCTGTTGGTATGAATCTAATGTATCGTGCCAATACTGGAATATTTAAGACGTTCTTGACAACAGTACTAGTATCTGTATTACCAGGAAACAACTAGAAGAAAAATAACAACATCTAAGACATTCTTGGCAACAGAATCACTACCATTTTTATCATTGAACAAATAAAAAAATCTTAATAATAAGGTCTGCCAGATTAACATAATGATGATAAGAACGAATTTGGAATTTTAAAAAGCAAGTGTTGCAAATTTATTACTATACATCAGAGTGTCATTAATTAACAAACTCGTCCCTAGGGTCCTCTCGGCCGACTCCAATTGAATATAGCGGGCATGGGGGAGGGACAGTAGGGTTGGCTGGAATCACGTGATCAAAATCTCTCTTTATTGAAAAATTTGATCACCTGATCCTCATGCAAAATGGCTGCATTCACCTGACCATCAATACAGAATGACTGCCTGGCGATCAAAGACTGCCTATTTTACCTTAGGGGTGTCGAGTAAAAATAAGATCTAAACTAGAGTTTTCTCATTAAGCTCTTCAAATGAGGCTTAGCTTTTTGAATTCATTCTTGTTGTTTAAATATTAATTAAAAACAGTGATTCCTTGGAAGAAACAAAAAGCTTACATGTATCTGCTGCTTCCCAGCTTAGCCGCAGAATACGTTTTTGATCATACTTACGTTGAAACCGTTATCGATGGTACGATTGTAGCATCATTAACTTTTATATTTGTAACTTCATAATCAAACATACCTTGTCTGCACTTCCATTTTTGTAAGTAGCCCATACCATAGCATTTTTGTCTATAGATGTTGATATTTTATATTGCGTAGTCCATTCAGGGATTCCATTCGCACCTTGTGTAGCCACCGCACAGATAACAAACACTTGACCCAAGTCTATCTGTAGATAGTCATTAGGGTCGCTTATTGTCTTTGGTGCCCATCCTCTGGCTGTTCCATTCAGACGTGCCTTCTTTGGAGCATATCTAGAGTTATACTGTGAAGATGCTGTAAATCTGTTATCTGGGATAATATTACGGTCTGCTATACCAACGGCATTGCTCTGGCAAACTAA